TCTGTCAGCATGACAACACACTCATTGGAATCCTGCAGCTGCCCCACACTGATAGACTAAGGAGCTGAGCCCCAGGAGAGATGAAGTAATTTCTCCAAAGCCACACCCTTGTGTCAGAATCTGTGATTTCATCTGCTGTACCGGTGACCCTTCAGGTTTTTGTCCCTATGCCCTCTGAAAGCTTTTGTAAAGGCAGGCATCACTTTCCACTCTAAGCACGGCTGCTGCAAAGGGGCTTTCCCCTGTACGTTATAAATAAGCTTTATTTTATACATTTTAACTATGTTCATCAACCGGGCTAAATTAATTTATTAATCCTTCCCGGTTATCTGTTTAATTCTTTTGGACTTCCTACCCATGCAATTACATCACCAGCTAACAAAGGCCATTTTATCTCTTTCTTTTTAATTTTCACTTATTTGTTTGTTTGCTTGTTTATATGTCTTGCTTTATTGTACTGCTATGACATTTAAGTGCACCCAGGACCACTCAACCACCAAAAGAAGAAAGCTATCTCACTTAGAGACACGAACCGCGTGGGGCTCCTGAGAGCTGTTTGTGCCACAGTTTCTAGGGTTGGCGGTAGGCAGTACTGAGCATGTCTACAGGCCCAGTGGCAGAGTGTGTGCCGTGGGGTTTTCTGGAGGCCCTGTTTTGGAGTCGTTTGTGAAACGTTTACACCAGCCTTTCCTCATCATTTGCGATGAACACTTAGCCCCGGCACCCGCTGAACCATCTATCAAACTGTCATCCCCACAGTCCTGGACCGACTCCCACCAGGCCTTGCTATAGCTGCTGCTCGGGTTGGAAGAGGACCAGTGGACTCCCCGGGGCTCTGTAGAGCTGCAATATGGCAGCCTCCACGTGCAAATGGAGGGAGTTGTATCCTTCTAGGCTATTGCTGCTGCCTTGTGTGAGGGCAGGGAGACACTTGCCACACAGATGTGGATGAATGAAGTACTGAGAGGCCAGTCGTTCCTAGTGCTGTGTTAATACTGTGGGCAGTTACTGGTGTCAGTGTTGGGAGCGGCAAAGTCCATCTACAGTTGGGATGCTCTGTTTGCTCAAGGAGGGGGGACCTCGCTAGCGGCCCCAAACCCCACAGCAGGAGCGGATAGCATGGTGAGGGAGCAGGTGCACAGGCTGCAGACATGTTGGAGCATAAACTGCGGTCACTGCTGGTACCACTGCACAGCCTGGCCTCTCGGGCCACAGAGCATGGACCGCGAGACCCTGGCGCACACCAAACAAAACCATCAACAAAAACATAGACCAAAACAATTCCTTTCAACAGCGGGTTCATGGCATGAGCAGGGTCTCCTTGGAGTAACAGCTGGGGTCTTACGCTTGCAGAAAAGATCTGCGAAAGCATCTCTCATCCCTCAGGTTGGGCTAAGCTGTCGCCCCATACATTCCTTCCAGCAAGAGTTCAGGTGCTCTCTGATGGTGCCTATGAGCAGAAGACCCTGCTTGTCTGTCCCTCTTTCTCAGAAGGTTCCTAGGACTTGGGCATGAGGAGTGGGGTTGTGTGTGACTCTCTAAATGGGGTTTTCAAGGAAAGGTACAAGAGTTCCCTGTCCAGAGGTGAGGTGGGGATTGTCCCCATCTTTGTCATAATAAAGCTGGGCCAAAACAAAACTATACTATTAATATGGTACTAAGTGGACATTCTTAAATGTTTCTTAGAGACAAAACTTTTATTACAAAAATATTATTAGGTATAATATTTACTGCATTTTTTAGATATAACTTGTTAGAATAAAGGCATCTCCTTGTCTTAATATGATCAGAATTCTTCTTATTATAAAAGAGCGTTAAGTTTTATACAAAAATGTCTCTGTCTGGGAGATCATCTTACCACTCTTCCCCATTTTTGCTGCTGCGAACACCAATGCTTTTTCCAGGGCTAACAAGCTTTGCGTTCCTGGAATGGACTTCCCTCGTAAAGATGTCTTGTGTAATATATGTCACTGGATTCAATTAGCTAATTATTTTCTTCAGGGTTTTATGGGAGAGATTAGCATGTAACTGTCAGCTCTTTTTCTGTCTTTCCATTCCAACATCATCTTATACTGGCCTCATAAAAGGCTGGGACAAATTCTCTTTTCTCAGCCTTCTAGAAGAGTCTGTGGAAGGAAGGTGTGTTTCTGTAAAATAATTCACTAATGGAAACCAGGGAAAAAGTGCAAAATTTTTAGCCATAAATTAAACTTTTTAAAAATAATAGTCTTAAGAATGCTTTGAAAAGTTCGTACTATGTATTTCAACTATTTTCAAAAGTATTGTATGAGTTCTGGAAAACTGTTTTGGGTTGTTCTCTCTCTCTCTCTCTCTCTCTCTCTCTCTCTCTCTCTCTCTCTCTCCTTTGTAATCTTTGAGACAGGGTCTATGTTGGCATAGGTAGCCTCAAACTCCCAGGTTCCAGACCTTCCCCAAGCACTGAGACTGTAGGCAAACAAAACCACATCTGTCTAACAGTTGAGGGGGGGAGGAGTTTGTTTTGGTCCTTTTTGTTGATGGTTCGTTTGAGTTTTTTGTTTTGTTTTGTTTTTTGAGACTGGATTTGACTGTGCAGCCCAAGATGGCCTGCTTCAGCTTCTTAAATGCCAGGAGGGCAGAGATGTTCTACCATGCTCAGCTCCTAAGTTTTGCTTTTTTAAAAAAAGTTGCTTTAGTAGTTTCACCTAATATTAACACTATGGCATTATTTTATCATATTAATGCTGATATCATGTCTACCAATATCTCCATAAAAGGACAATTACTGATGGGACATACATTGAAAATATGCTGAGTGGAAGAAATCATTTACGAAGAAACTCATGCTGTTCAAACTTATTCAGACGCAATGCTCAGAACTGAAAAATTGACAGAGCCAGAAAACAGATTCCAGGCTTCTCAGGCTTGGGGCCTTGGAAAGAGTGGAAAGGAGTGGATTGGGAAGGACTAGCTGCCGGCAATGTAGGCTTTCTCTCAGAGGATAATAAAAACACTCTAAAACTGGTAGTATTGATAGTTGCACATTGAATTGTAAACTATGTGAATTGGAGCTCAATAAAGTTGTTTCTCTTTAAAATGTCACTATGAGTTTAATACCCAGCAAAAGCAAAACCAACTAACCAACCAAAAAGAAAAAAAAAAAAACAAAACAGAAACCCACACCTTATACTGTTGACAAATTACATCCTCCCTCAGGTTTTTCTAAACAACAAATTGGAAACTAGACTTGTGAAAGAATGTGTTAGCTAATCATTTAGCATTTGAGCCTTGACCAGTATGTCCATCTTCCTTGTCTTCGGTAACTTGGAGGGTCTTCATTCTGACATCACCCTGGAGCATTAGCATGACACTGGCCCTCCTAGGTTTCAGGAACACCAAATGCTAGAAGCGTTTCATAAAAAAGCAGCCCATACATCTCAGGAAAGTCAGCTAGTTCCAAGGCTGTTGTCCTAGGTGACGCTGCCTCACAGGCTAGGCGTGCGAGGGAGAAAGGGATTGTGTTCTAGTCCTGCTAGCTATGTGGCAATGTGTCCTGTGGTGGCAAGGGTTAGTCCCTGGGTGCCCTGTGGTGGCGAGGGTTAGCCCTTGGGTTGCTGGCCCAGACCTGGACGTTGAGAAGGTCAGTTCCAGTCCAGATGTGGGAAAGAGAGAGAGTCAGACTAACTCATCATCTCTGGAAGTCACAACAATGTAGAAAACCTGGACACGATGACCTTGTTTCGCTGGGTGACACAGAACTAAATGCTGCTTAGTTCTGTTTGTGCTGTGTGAGCAGCCCTGGCAGCTACGGAGATTTATACTGCTGAAAAACCTGATCCCTCGCTTTTCCCTTACACTTTTTTTTTTTTTTTTGTGGGTGAATTTAATCTTTGTACCTGCCATGTCTGCTGAGTATATAATTAGCAGGCTGACATCTGAGCAGGGCTTCTCGGCTAGCTTTATTTAGGGGTGGAACTTTTTTTTTTTTTTTTTTGCTTTGGGTAAACTTAGGTACCCCAACTTCCTTATTAATCAGGATAATAAGGACAGCCTTATCCAACCCTCAGAATGCATCAAGAACACAGAAATATCTGAGTCTAGGTGTCAATTAGAGTCACCTTGTCCTTTAGATGTGACTGAAAATGGCTCGGTAAAAGTCTGTGCCTCCTTCTAGGTTTCTGGTCATTTCTTGGAGGCAGTTCTGTGGTCATCTCTGACTACAGCGTCTGAAACGGTTCCCCATTAGGGATTGTCCGCTGTCGGCCTGCTGCTGTCCCCCTTCCCCACAGAAGACTGTCACAGGGTTCAGAGCGTGTTCTCCATTAGTGCTGTGTAGCGCACAGAAAGACTCCTCTAACCATGGACCTCGCAGACCTCCACGTTTAGGACTAAACAGGACTCACTTCCGGGCAACAAGGCCAGTAATAAAACACATCATTCAAGGTAACCAGTATCAGCATCAGGTCACAGGTTCTCTTAATTGGCTATTTTCCTAGGCGGGGGATGGCACATGCCTTTAATCCCAGCACTCGGGAGGCAGAGGCTGGCGGATCTCTGTGAGTTCAAGGTCAGCCTGGTCTACAAAGCAAGTTCTTGGAGAGCTAGAGAAACCTTGTCTTGAAAAAACATAAAAAAAAAAGTTGAAGGAGGTTCCCAAGACATTGTCTACACGTGTAAATCTCCAGACTACTGCCTAAGATTCAGCCTCCCTGCTCCTTCCTTGCTTTGCTCTAACATCCTTACACAGCCAAAGCTGGTATCCAACTTAAGTAGAGAAAATCTTTCTCTAAACTTTTCCCCCGACTCTAGAGTTTTGTCTGCATATCTTAAAACACCAAACTAAAGTTTCAGAATATTATTTGTAAGGATTTGCCCACTAACACCAAGCAAGAGTTCTGTTCCTCCTCCTCCATGTCAGAGACTTGGTCTGTGCATTGTGTGTGTTTAACATGAATCGGGGTGGGGGGGGATTCATTGGATAACAAAGTACTAAACACTAACAAAATAACAGGACAAGAACGTTTGATCCAGTCAACACTATTTATTGAGTGCCTTTGATGTTCTAGGCACTGAGTTAGTCAGTCATAAAGGGGAACAGTAGCAGACATAGCTCTGCCCTTGTGTGGCTTACAGAGCTGGTGTGAGAGAAACATCACGTACAGAGGCGAAGCGAAGCTGTGAGTGACAAGTGTGGGAAGATGGGTGTAGGGGCTGGGAAAAACACACACACTACCTAGTGGGAGCTGGGCAGGCCAAGTCCATGAGGCTGCAGAGCTGTGACCTGCAGGTTCACTAGGTTGATTTGGGGTCGGCAACGACATTTCAGGTGAAGGAAGCAGGCCACAGGAAGTCTCTGGAACACCAGGAAGCCTTGGGAGAGGATGGAGAGGAGGCCCACATGGCTGGGGTTGCAAACTTGAGTAGCACTGAGAAGTGAGATTAAGTTAGAGAGAGAGGAGTGAAGCCGGACCACTACAAAGTTTCACGTTAGGGAAAGATGACAAAACTTTACATTTTGGGGGAAAAACCACTCCTCCAGCTACAGTACAGATGACAAACAGGAACATTACAAAGACTGGAGCTGAACTGTCAGCTCTGGAGTGCCCGTGTGGGGACGGCTAATTATTCAGAGAAGTGGTTTATCTCTATGGGTGCTGTGATTCAATACTATACTAAATGGATATATACATACAAACAGCCAGAACATCTTTCGTATCGGTGACTAAAAAGTCACCAACAAAAGTGGTCTTTGCTCCCCAGACTTCCTGTGGCTTTCTCCACTTAGGAAAGTTATTAGCACATACTAATTATACAAACAGTGTATTTATTACATTTTCATAATCCTTATACTTTGAATTCACTTTTAACCATTTATATTCCCTCCTCCACCCCCTTGTTTTTCTGCAGGGAGGGGGTCAAGTGGGGGCACTGGGGATCAAACCCAATACCCTGTTCAGACTAACCACTTTCTACCCAAGCTATATTTGCAGACACTTTTCTTGCTTTTTAAAACATGATATCCTTAAATAGTTATTTTTAATTTTTGTACACTGAAGGAAGAGAAGAAAAATCACACACTATAAACCCATAGTACCTCCTTAAACTTAGTTCTTCTCTGTCAAGAGAGAATATTCAAAGTCACAACCAGTGCTTTCTTTTAATATTCTCCTAAAAAAAACCAAAATAAACAAAAACTCCATGTATTTGGGCTTTGGGATGTAGCTCAGTTGGTAGAGTATTTGCTTTACAGACACAAAGTCCTGGGTTCGATCCCGAGTACCACACAAGCCTGGTATGATGGCATCTGACTGTTACCCCAGCATTCTGAAGGTGGAAGCAGAAACATCAGAAGCTCAAGGTCATCCTTGGCTACATAGCAAGTTCGAGGTTAGTCTGGGATACATAAGACCCCATCTCAAAGGAAAAAAGAAGAAAGAGAAAGATGGGATGGCAAGGCTCCCACTGATTACTTCCTTAGTTCACCAGTCCCCAAATCTTCAGTAAGGACAGATCTCGTACACTTTACTATGAACACACACCTCTGTAAGATGAACGTCTCATCCCTGTCTATCTGTGACAAACACACTGAAGAAGGATTTCTATTTCACTAATAAAGGGAAAAGTAGCAAAATTTCAAGCTAGAATCAGAATATGCAAAAAAATAAGAGTTGAATTATATGTATTAACTTAAAGGCATAATGAAGATATTTGCACTAGGAGGCAAAAATCTTCTTTCCTTTTTATACTACAGAATCAAACCCAGTGCCTCAGACATTTTAGGCAAGTGTTCTAACCACCAAGCTACACTCGCAGCCTAAAAATTACAAACCTTAGGAAAGAAATATTCAAAACTTTATGGTCAGATTACAAAAGCATACTTAATAACGCCAGCTCTCAAGCAGGGGGACTGTCAGCTTGAGGCACAGTGAGACTTGTTAAAAAGGGAGAGAGAAGACAGGAAGAGGGTAGGACTTGAGAGAGGGTTTTTAAATTGATGAAGTTGTATTTTCAATAGACTAATAAAACAGACCACTCCTGTGTGGGCTTAGGAACATGAATGAATATAAAAATATATGTTATAAGTCAGATGTATTTCTGCCCTTTTTCTTTCTTTCCTTTCTTTCTTTCTTTTCTTTTCTTTTCTTTTTTTTAGATTAAAGTCTTACTATGTAACCCAGGCTCTCTTGGATCTCAAATTCTCCTGCCTTACCCTCACAAATGCAAACGAAACAGGTTTGTGCCACCATGCCCAACAGAGAGATCAACTAGAAAGAAGGAATGACTTGGAGATACATAAAGACCCCGTGTCAGTTTATTTCTACTAACAGAAAACAACCTCAGTGCTCCAAGACACAACTCTAAAATGAAATAAAATCACTAAGCTCACACTTTCAGAGACCACTTGATGCTACAGAAAATGCTCATGAGAAGAGTAGTTAAAGACTTGTCTGCTAGCCAGCGCTTTATTTTGAAGCCCTACAGTCAGTGTTTCTCTACATCACTCAGCTATTTGCCCCTTTATGGCTTTCATTATTTTTATTGTGCCAAAAATAATGCCTCAGAGTTTCTTACAGAGGATTTTTTGATAATAAACTCCTAGTTTTTGTTTGTCCAATAAAATATCTTTATTTAAGAAAATAGTGGAGGGAGACCAGCCTTCACGTAAAAATATGCATGAATAAACTATGCACATATGCAAACATATGTATAAGAATCTATAAAATATCTCTCTATATATACCCTCAATTTAAGCACTTAGAAAAGAGACGGCCTTTTTCTCCGAGGCTAGTCCACACTCGTGTCTTCCAAAGTCACCCAGGCAGCTCAGTGACGCAGCGGCAGGGCCCACTCTGACTCCTGACTTCGTCCATGGGTCCACCTGCACATTCAGCTCACAGACCAGCTCCAGGACCGCAGGCCCCGAAGGCGATCCTCTCCATGGGTAGGGATTTGTAGATACTTCTCCCCAAAGTTAGAAGCTTCACTCGATGACTCGTTTTTTCCAAATAACACTTGATGTGGCATTTTCATTCGACCATACTCATCGTTTACCATCTATTGAAAGAGTTAGCTTATCTATTAATTCAATCCATTACATCACTAATTTTGGCAAAGTATATTCACATTGGGAGTAAAGTTTTGTGTCTCTGTTCAGGCCTAGAATATCAAGGTAATTGTTACGCAGAACTAACCCAAACTGTGCATAACACACGGTATTCCTGACCCCTACTGACTGAGCTACCGTGGAGCCACCATCTTCCTCAGTCACTGCTACAAGAAAACCAACTCCATGGTATCTAATTCACAGTAGACTACCCAGGACCATGTGTTGAAAGAAACCGGGATGTTGAAAAAAATGTTAAGATAAACCCTAGTCCAAACTGCACTGACTATTCCAGTGAACTCCCACCATGTTACCATCAATATGGCCTCTACATTTTTTTCCATGTTAGGACAAATTCTATACAAACTGACAAAATATCATTTTGTAGCCAAGAGGACCCAGTCCTAGATACTTTGCCAATAATGGTAGTTAAGCTGGGCAGAGCTAACTCCAACACTGCGTAGGGTACTGGCTTCTATCTGTTCAAGAGACACAAGAGCAATACCCCTGAAAAAAATCTATAATTTTATCCCATCTGCACTTTAAGAAGGATGCTGGGTATTTTTTTATCATTTAAAAATTATTTATTGTTCCCTCTCACTACTGAGTCAGCTCAGCAGTCCAGCTCCATCTTAAGGATTATTAGGGACAAAATAATTTTAAGGGAAAAAAATCCAAAACATAAAGAAAAAATCACTCACAACCAACAACAAAAGCCTGCAGTACAGGTCTGGGAACCCAGCCACAGCACGTCCACGTCTGTGCCTTCCGGAGCACCGCTCTCATTTCTTGATGGGAATGCCAATCACCATAAAGTCTTCCGCCAGCGTCACTTCTTGGAGATCTAACACTGACTCGGCTTGCCTTTTCAGCTCTGCAATGCCATCTGTCTCTCCTTCTCTAGCCAAGGCGATCGGTTTGTACCGCTGGCTGAAGTGAGTCAGGACCAGCCTCTTTGCACGGCACAGCTTCGCGAATGTTGCTGCCATCTGGGGTGTGCTGTGGCCATGCTCTTTTGCTTTGTCCATCTGAGAATCATCCAGAGTTGCCTCGTGGATCAACAGGTCTGCTTCAAAGCACAGCTTCACTCCTCCATCACCCACAACCCCGCAACAGTCACCCAATATGCAGATTTTTCTTCCAACCATAGGCTTTTTTAAGACATCTTGGGGAGAAATTGTAACTCCATTATCCAAAACAACAGAAATTCCATTTTTCAGCTTCCCATAGGCAGGACCTGGGGGCACACCTGATGATGCAGAAACAGATAACATTACATCAATACATGGAATTATGATTTATAAAGAAACAACTTTAACAGCACAGCAAACAGCAAATAGCAAAGGCATCCAGGGGTCTTAAATCAGCAGTTAAGGGCATTTGCTGCCCTTCCAAAGGACCTGAAGTCAATTCCTAGCACCCACATGACAGTTCACAAACGTCTGTACCTCCAGTACCAGGGCCTCTGAGGATGACAGACAGGTATATGGTACACACATAATGCAGACAAAACATCCATACACATAAAATTTTAAAATTAAAGATATCTGATCATTTCCAAAACTGCAAGAGATGCTTTCCTACTAGTAGACAACTGTGATATTTAAACATTTTAAAAGTTCAGTGTTGCTATTAACAACAGCTTTACGCTTTTCCTAGCACATGTGTGAGCTGACTTTTAAGCTCTGAAGTATCACTTAGGCCTTACTAGACTTGAGACACCAGCTTTGATTTTCTGCTTTGCATGAGAATAACACTTTGGGGGATCCTTTATTTACTACTACAACAAAGAATAGATCTAAATAATCATATAATCAATATCTCCAGTCAGAGTAAGTGTCTGCAAACAGACTAACTGAATAAGAAACTTAGTAGAGAGGACTATTGGGATCCTAAGTTGGAGCTAGGAACCTTTGCAGTCAAGCCTAACAACCTCAGTTTGTTTCCTGAGAGCCACATGGTGGAAGGAGAGAATCGACTCCCAGAAGTTATCCTCTGACCCCTACCTGCACACCACGGCAAACACACATGCACACACACACACACCAAGCAAAACCACCTAAAATAAGGTCAAGGGATATTTCAGGCAATCATACATGATTAATCTTCTTGGTAGATTGTAGTAGTTCCAGATTTCAAGCTTCAGCGTTATTTAATACAGAATAACACAGAGAATAACACTTACAAACAAATATATGGTCAATATTTCCAACAGTGATCATGTTTAAAGTTTCCAAATATAACTATTTACACAAAATTTGCATGACAAAAATACCTTTGACCTACATCACTTTCCTCGTTATCTAGTATATTATTTCAGTTGGGGAAGGCAACTAAAATTTAGATGAATCACTACCGTTCTTTCAATAGGAATATCCATGTCATGCCAGGTAAGGCTGGGCATAGGATAGACCTGACCTCCATTTCTTAAGGTCTCCTCACTTGTGCATCAAGGCCTCACATGGAGAAATGACAACTTCTTCAAGGCCCTTTTCCCATCTTTGTGTGTTTCCTTCCCACTATGGCGACCATGGTATATGTAGAACCAGTTAAGGTGCAGCGTCCTGAATGCCAAATTAATTCAGTCAGATGGAATGAATAGGCAAGGTAGACAGAAAGGGAAGTCTTGAGGCAGTTGGCTGCTGTTGCAAAGACCCATGGCAAAAATCCTTGCACTGAAGATGGCATTGAAGGGCCAAGGAGATGTCTCAGTGGGTAAAGTGGGTAAAGTGCGTGGGGGACCTGAGCTCAGATCCCAGGACCCATGAAAAAGCCAGGTGTAACCCTAGCATCACGGTCTTGCTGCATAGCCAATCTAGCCAAAATAATGAGCTCTAGGTTCACTGAGAGAGCCTGCATCAAAAAGGTAGACAGTAATTGAGGACTCTTCATGTTGACCTCTGACCTTTGCATGCACATGCACGGATGAGAGCACACACACACACACACACACACACACACACACACACAGCTCACACACCTCACACAAAGATGTCATCAAAAACATACCTGAAGACTGTGCACATTTCCAATTCCAAACAATCTTGAGGCAGAGGCCGGAGGATCATGAGTTTGAATTTGAGCTACATAGTAAGTTGTGGGCCAGGCTGGGCTACAGAGTGAAAATCCTGTATCAAACAATAAGATAGAAACAGATTTAAAAAATGAAAATACAACTTCAAAAATAAAACATGACTATTACAAGTATAGGTTAGTGGCAGAGCACATGGGCTTGAACCCTAGCACAACCGATATAAAACAAAAGGAAAGCACAAGGAAATAAAAATAAATCATGGACTTACCAGCCCAATTCAAACCACCTTGCCAACCAAGTCAGAGCTGGGCCTGTTCATACAGGCTGTATCCCAGCTTCTCAGAATGATCTCACATTCAAAACCACCATGAGCAACTTAGTGAAACCCTGGCTCAGGTAAAAAATAATAAAAGAATCGGAGATAGAGCTCAGTGCTTGTTTAGCTTGGGTCCTAGATTCAATCCCCAATGCAGCCAAAAGGAAGAAAAAAGAATGTGAATCCAGGAAACTAACGAGAAAAGATTCAAATATATTAAATATTCTAGTTTTGTTCTGAATAGCATCTTTAGACACCAAAGATTTTCCTTAATAAGCAAATTTTGGGCAAAGGAAGTGAGTGCTTACTGTGAGCACACAGGAAACAGGCTACCCTGGCACTCCCAGTGGCTTCCGGTAAGACAGCTCAGATAAAGAAGGAAAGGCATACTCACCGAGGTCTTTCAGCTTCTGTGCATTGAGTTTACCTGCACGTTTCTTTTCCACAATTGAAAAACCAAAGGATGGAATTCTGTGAAAGAGGCGAAATGCTTTTACAACAAACTGCTCATCATCAACCAGACAGTAGGAGTTTTCTTCTGTGTCTAACAAGATAGTTCGTCCCTGTCCTTTGGGAGGGCTGTCTGCTTCATTCACATGTGAAAATTCCTTTAGTTCTTCCACAGGACACTGATCAGCTGTAGGCACTATCTCATGGACCACATAAGGAAAAACCAGCTCTGTATGGGAGAGCTCCATGGTTCTCCAGATAAAGTCCCGAAGCCCTACAGGGCCATAGATCTCAATAGGCTGCCTTGTGACCACAGAGCCACTCTGTAGGCTGATCGTACAGAGGAGGCCCGGAAGGCCGAAGAAGTGGTCTCCATGAAGATGTGTGATGAAGATCTTGGTAATTCTCCCTTTTGATTGAGACAGAGAAAAAAATTAGGATAATTTTCAGAAATAAAAACCAAAACAAAACTATTTGACTCAGTATCCCCAGCCCTCAGCCTGATATTGGAGGTTAGCCTTGTGCACACAGGACAGTTGCTCTGCCACTAAGGAACACCCTCAGTTCCACAGACAAAGAAATTTAAAATAAGCCTAAGAACTTACGTAAAAAGTAGTAAGCGGAAATTGGACGTTCTTTATGTTACCATCCACTTACTTATTCCTTTCATCTTGCTGTGTGACTCCAGAAAAAAGAGAGATAGGTTTTATTATGCTCTATGGTCTTGTTAGTTGGTTGGTTTTTCTGTATGTGTTCTGTATGTTTGTGGGGTGTGAATGTGGTGTTGTGTGTGTAGACTGTGCACATGAATATGTAGCTATACATGCATGTAGAGACCAGAGGAGGTGTTTGGGTGACTTCTTCTACTGCTCCCTACTTTCATCTTAAGCCAGGCTCTCTTACAAACCAGCTCACCATTTTGTCCAGGCTGGATGACCAGTGAGTTCCCAGGCTCTGTTTCCTTGACTACCCACTAATGCTGGGGTTAAAGGCACCAGACATGCCCAGCTCTTTACACAGATGTGGGGATTTGAATTCAGGACCTCGAGCTAGACAGCAAGCACTCTTACCCTTGAGACTTCTACCCAGCACTACTTGGTTGCTTTCTGAGACAAAATCTCACTCTGTAGCCCATGCTAACCTGGAACTCATCATGTAATCCAGGCAGCCTTGAACTTGTGGCAATTCTCCTGCCTTAGCCTTCCAAGGGATAGGATTATAGGTGTAAACTACCAAGCCCAGTTCCTCCAGATGGTTAAACAGTATACTATTTTTTCTATGAAAATATTCAAATTACAATGCTTTACAGCTTTCCAAGTGTTTTCCTACATAGCCTCATTTTCCAGAGTGAAATATAAAAAAGCTCATCAAGAGGGCTGGAGAGATGGCTCAGAGGTTAGGAGCACTGACTGCTCTTTCAGAGATCCTGAGTTCAATTCCCAGTAACCACATGATGGCTCACAACCGTCCATAATGAGATCTGGTGCCCTCTTCTGGTGTGCAAACATACACGGAGGCAGAATGTTGTATATGTAATAAATAAATCTCAAAAACAAAACACTTGTAGGTCAACTGTTCACACTAGAAAACTCAACTAACTAGGCCTCAAGTGTCAAAGTATCTTTCATCTACACTGTCTGCCGTCAGTGCTCTGAGACGAACCTGCAGCAACGTGGACTGTTCCAAGGTCCTAACTGACTGCATCACGCCTAAGCCCAAACCTGACTTTTAAGGTCTCCTTCCTGGATAGGGATTCACCAATAAAGACTGAACTATGTGTCCCAGTGGAATGTGGGGAAGGACAAACAGGACCAGGACTGAGGAAGAAAGGAGGAGGAGGAAGAAGAAGATAACTGGAAGAGGAACAGGTGAGACAAGAGGCAGGTCATGAACACCAGATGCCAGGCTGCAGACTGAAGGCAGATCCCTGATCATACTACACGAGGCCACATGGGCCCAGCTCTTGTTTCCAGTCTGAATCTACACCACAGCTTTTTCAGTGCACACTGGCTTAGTCATAACTTGATTCAGCTAATGGTAAACTGAATTTACTGTTGGTAAATGGCAGGATGCCACATCAGCATTTTCTGAGATGTACCATGGGCATTTTGAAAGTAACAATCAAAATAAACAAACAGCATATTTCCAGTAGAACAGGCTCAAGGGCCACCTATCTGAAGTATATGATACCATAAAAGTACAGGAGCAGTTTATTGATACCATAAAAGAACAGGAACAGTTTATCACACTGTGATTTGTTCTGACAGCAAATGCTCTCAGAGCAAGACTTCCCAGAAGGACTACGCCTAGGCTGTAGTGGCCTGGAACAATAGCTGGCTCAGAGGCAGACTTGGGTCCTCGAGGACCCCCTGCCAGGAGGCGCCGCTTGCCGCATGTGTGCTCGCACTCTTTCTCTGTCTCCCTCCCTCCCTCCCTCCCTCTCTCTCTCTCTCTCTCTCTCTCTCTCTCTCTCTCTCTCTCTCTCTCTCTCTCTCGTCTTCCACATGCTGCCTTTGCTCTTCTGTTCTTCAGGTCTGTTTTATAATTTTGTATGGTGTTGGGGATTGAATCTAGGGTGCCATACACATACTTAGCAAGTGCTCACTTACTGAGATATACTCCTGGGCCCCTTTTAGCCTTCATATTTTACTGCTTTTTCTTTTTTTAAAAAAAAAAAAACTTCAAATGAAAGGATAGTCCTTAAATTTCCCATTTTCCCTTTCCAGGCTGTCTCTTAATATGACCCAAGGACTTTATAAACAAAAGAACTACAGCAGTTACCAAATCCAGATCCCATGTTGGCCTCAAAACTGCCAACATCAGGCTTTCTAGGTCTTCTCACTATCTATTGCAAAACAAAGCCAAAGCTGAACACAAAACAGCCTGGGAACCCAGAACAAGTGTAGCAAACAAAGTAAGAGAAAAACTGCTTCCCATAGTTATCAGTTTCAAGAAGGCCAGGCATTTCATTTTCGGGAAATGTGATTTCTGAGAGACAAGGAATGGCAACCACAGTTATGAAAGCTATGAAGAAGCCTGCAGATGAAGAGTGAAGATCACGCCGATGCCCTTCCCATAAGCAGAAGGAAGTGGTGGGGAAACACTGCCCACAGAGAAGCAGAACACTGAGCATCCTTAGGTGGACATGATGGTGCAATTAAATCTGCTGTTCTACAGCATGTGATAAATACACTGCTCAGCTAAAAACATCAAAAGTGGTTACTATCAACTAAAGTGTGGCTCCATTTAGGCAAATTACACACACTTCTATACATATTCACACAATCACATCTGTATTTATAGAATGTACCTGTGGGAGCTAAGAACGTAACTCGGTAGAGTGTTTGTCTATCATTCATGAAGTCCTGAATTCACTCCCCAGTACCACAGGAAAAAGAAAAAGGCAGGAGGGTTGATATTCAAAGTCATGGGCTACATAACAAGCTCAAAGCCTCATGATTACATGAAACTCTGCCTCGAAGAAAAGAGAGAGAGGTTTTGGGGGGTGTCTATGTGAGGAAGACTTGGGCGTTTCTTATTTACACCCTTTAGTTTTGTTTTATTTGAATTTCTTCAATGAAAATATGTGTTCAAGAATGTTATAATTAAGAAGTGTTGTTCCTTTGAACAAGGTCTCATGTAGCTCGGGCTTTACAAAAACAGATAACCATGAACTCCTAATCTTCCTGCCTCTACCACCTAAGTACCGGGCTAACGGGAATGTGACACTGGAGCAGCCTACTGCGAAAGTTGAATCAGAAAGACCACAAATTCAAGGCCTTCCTGACTACTGAGTGAATTGAAGGAAAGTCAATGGGTAACAGCAAATTCTTACCTCAAAATAAAAAGTACTAGGATGTGGCTCAGTGGCAGAGCACTCAATTGCCAGTTCTCTCCCTCCCCCCGCCCCTCTCTCTCTCTCTCTCACACACACACACACATATAAATATATAATTAATTTTTTTTTAGTTTGGGGCTGAATCCAGGGCCTTGCAGATGGCCCCACTTAAAATGTTATCATTTGTGTTGTCACCATGCTGTTGTAATGCTTTTAGGAATCGCCTAATACTCATTTCTTCCACTTTGTTGGTTTTGGTTTCAATAATGGGGACTGGGACACAGTGGTACATATACTAAGCATGCATTCTACCATAATTAGTGCTCTTTCTTTCATGCTGCAAGTATTTAAAAATACCTCCCTTTTTCCTGTATCTACATGATTGATGACTGCTGGTTCCTGGACACCAGAAGAACATTTCTTTAAAGGTCAAGTGCATACCCTCGGATGATCTGTGGCAACTATGATTTATCAAGACCTCAAGAGTGGGACCCTAAATGTCCACCTTTGACCACGAACAGGAGCCTATTAGGCATTTACCAAGCACACAAGTGTCAGTAAACCTACCTAACTCCATATTAATGTGCAAGTACAAAACTGCTTAAATAGCACAGTTCCAGACACTAACGAGGCTAAGAAGTTAACAAACTATATAAAACAAAGGAGGTTCAGGAAACCTTGAGGAAATAGCCTTTGAGAGGAGATTTAAATGATGAAAACCTGATAATTGATGAGCTATTAGAAATTATTTTTAAAGATTTAAATGATGAGATGGAAGCAGCCACGGGAGATATGAATTACTTAATATATATAATTCCTTTAATTTTTTTCTGAGACAAGGGCTCACTGTGTAGCTCAGGCTATCCTCTCTACCTCCCGAGTTCTAGGATTCCAAGCAAGTGCCACACACCTGGTTTACAGCATTTCTTTTAGGCAGTTTGTATCCCTGCTCTGATTAAGCCCTCTGATCTGCTAAGGCCAACCGGAGATACAACTGGGCCTAACACCCAGGTCTGCTGTTTCCAGCTGAGAGCTCTCACCCCTGGAACCTCTGCTCCGGGTGCTGGTCTGGGCCCACTACTCCATTCCTTCAAGCTGGACTTCCATTCTCCCCAGGCCAGGGAGTTTTCCTCTCTCAGCAATTCATAGATAAACTTGTCTGAGATGGCTACCATGATAGCAAGGGGAGCATCCTCCATCTGTCCATAGACTGCCTGCCCTTTGCATTTTCCCATAATGCTATCTCCTGCTGGAGACCAGTTTGGCCACCAGCCCTCTGTTAGGGCATGGTTCATTTGCTACACCTCTTGTGTCTATCACTATCCTGCATGTCCAGACCTTCATAAATCCTTCTCTAAACACTTGCAGGATGAGTGAGAAGCAAGTAAAGGCATCTGACATTCAGCAGGCACTGCTGGATGCTGGATGCTCTTCCAAGTCTTGCCAGACAGAGCCCTAGCTCTGAAGTGGATGCTGCTTCAGGGCTGTTACACAACAAGAGGTTCCCTGAGAGCCAAGACATGAAACACAACCAAAGACAATCCAAGAAAGCTGGGTGCACACTAACCTGCTTTAAGTTGGCTTTTCATAAGCTGTGTCTGTGTTCCCTCCCCACAGTCAAAGAGCCAGCACTCGCCCTCACACCGAAGAACCACAGCGGAGGCACCCCGGGTTGGGGATGGATATGCTGCTCCTGTCCCAAGAAAGGTCACATCCATAGACATCTTTCAACCTGCAACAGAAATATTACCTGGGGGTTATTTTTTAAAAATCACCGCACCAAAACACATTCCTCTGAGATTTACTGACTGATTGATTAGTTTATGTTGGTGCGGGAACTGAACCTAGACCTCCATACTGGCTGAACATGAGTTCTCTGTGGAGTTGACCCCTATTTAGTCTCTGGCTAAAATGATTTGCTTGGTGGTTTAAAATGGTGCTGGTACTCTAACACTGAGCTATACCCCCAGTTCTGATTATACCTTAATTGGCTGAAACTACAAGCCATCAAACCTTATACAACTGCATGCACATGTGCACATGCATGTGTGCGCACACACAAAGCACTACAGTCTTAGGGATCAGCGGGTTAAGCCACTTGGCACTACATCTGACAACCTGAGTGTGACCCCTGGAATCCGCATGGTGGAGGGAACCTGTTCCTAGTTGTCCTCTTATCTCCACACTCTCTCCACACACAAATAAATCAATAAATATATATATTTTTAAAACCTATGGTTGAAGGGTCGGGGCTCAGTTCAATGGTAGAGCTCTTGCCTGGCATGTACTAGATTCTGGGCTTGGTACTTGGCACTGTAAGTAAAACACTGTAGTTGAATTCCAACCCTATGATAATCTCAAAAAGACAAATTACAGAGACAGTAAAAAGATGGGTGTTTGCTGGTAATACCATTGAAAGGATTAATAGGGGGCGCGCATTTCTAAGGAAACAAAACCATTCTATATGACGCAATTCAGCAATGTCGTTATATTGGAAATGGGGATGTAACTGGGGTAGAGCATGTACAAAGCTCTGGATTTGACTCCAGAACCACATATACAAAGAAATGTTGTCATGTACCAGTGCACACAGTGCACATGTGTTAATAATTGACTATACTGACTCGTGAACTTACCAGACTCATGTTAGTACAGAAGTGGGCAGAGAGGGTGAGAAGGCCCATGAGAAGGCGCCATACTCATACTAGTTCATTTTTTTTAAGTCGTAATAAAACTTGGATCTGGCTAAGGTTCTGAACAAGGGATAGTATTTGACTATGCCCACCGAGTGGCGCCGTGGAGACCAGACCTTTCCCGGGAAGACTGGGGACACCTGCAGATCTTTTGAAGCAGTGCAGATGGTGTCCTTCCCTCGAGGGCAGAGTTCGTGGCTGGTTTAGAGCACACCTTTGCCTTCTCCCCCAAGTCCTGAGTCTCAAGCACAGGGCCTGTTGCACAGAAGAGCTGCGGCAAGTGTGCCTCTAGCCGGGACTCTAGCTACTCTTCTCAGTGATCTGCAACCCAGAGGATGTAGATTTCTGCCAGCTCCTGGTACTATTCTCACTAGATCTAGGCACTGTGCCACCTTTGATCTCTGTCTGTGATGGGAGATTTGTGTCACAAACAATATATGAGGGCTAGCTGAAACTTATGAATGGCCAGTTCCACATGAATTGGATATGATTTAAAATTAGGAGGGTGCTGGGGATATGGTTCAATAGGTGAGCCTTTGCCTCATGTGGGATATGTGGGAGAAGCTCTGGTTCCAGCCCCAACCCTGGGGGAGGGGCAGAAGCAAAAGAATATGTAACTCTGGGGAGTAGAAAAGTCTTTCCTGCACAGGCAAGAAGCTCTGGAATTTAAAAACAATATTACACCATTTTGTAACATCTGTGTATCAAAAACTCGGTCAAATGACAGGAAAAAGGTAAACATACACAAAATCTCAGACTAAGGCAAATCTAAGCAGCAGAAAGATTTTGTAAGGACCAGATGACCAGGATGCCTGCTGCTAGACAGTGCCTTCTAAATATGACCAGGAAGCAACACACGTGAAGTCTCAACAGCATGGCTGCCTAAGCATGCGCTGCAAATGATAATACAGTCTATGTGACCACGTGGATGGTGAAAATTTCAAAAGGTCCCACCCTAGAGGAAGAGCTACAATCAATGGGTGCTTAGGGAGGAAGAATCAGTTTTTTCTAGGCCCAGTCAGTCACTTGACAGGTTATCTGCTGTGTCCACCCAGCCAGTCACATGACAGGTTATCTGCTGTGTCCTGCATGGATCCAGGGACAGACGTGACTGTGGTGGCAAGGGAACGAAGAAAAGACAAACACATACACACACACACACACACACACACACACACACACACACACACAGATGGAGTTGAATGGGCTGGGCTATCTGATGGGCCAACCCAACATCCCAGAAGCTCAGCGCTTTTATTCTAGAGAGTTGAACAGAGAGGACTACTGCACATAACTGAATAAGGAGGCAGGGCTCCTATTAAACAGAAAGGCAGGGCTAGCTAATGTCAGCAGGAGCAGTCTCTGTAGGAGAGCAGGTGCTAAGGTGGACATCTTCTGCACACATTGTCAACACTCCCCAGGCAGGCTTTGCCACCCCTCTGAGTGGGACCCTGGGTGGGCGGGCATAGGCTTTGCCTTTTTCCCATGGATCTGAGGCTGGGGTCCATGATATGGCTGTGCCACGTCAACAGCACACATTCACTCGGGGTTTCCTCCACTCCCTAGTTATCCAATCCCAGCTGGTCAGTCCCAAACACATGCTCACATGAGCAACACTAAGTGGATTCAGTAGGTCATATATATACACATATGAATATATGTGTGGAACAGTAGAAACTAAGGAAGAGGTCATGAATTTGAAAGTGGGGACAGGAATGAACTGGAAAGGGAAAGGGAGAGGTAGAAAAATATAAATACAGTACTTGTGATGAAATTCTCAAAATTTAAAGAAAGTAAAAATTGCTTTTAAGAGATTAAAGCCTCTTAAAATGTTCATGAGGTGCTGGAGAAGTGGTCTCCTGGGTCAGAAAGCTTGTAGCCCAGCTCGAGGAGCTCAAGCCCTAGAACCCACATGGTGGAAAGAGAGAGTCAACTCTCACAAGTTGTCTTCTGACAGCACACATACCCCTTCCAGCTTGTTTTAGTTTATAGAAACGTGAACGTGCTCAGCGAATCACACGTCACCGGGCAGATTCTAATGAAGAATGCCAACCAGAGCTGCGTGGGGCGACAGGAAGTGGGAAACGGTGTAATCACAAGTTTCCACACTGATGGTGGAGCGGCGAATTGCTATTACACTCTGGGAGTCTGGGAGAATAATCTGACTACAGATATTTCTAGTAATGATATTGTTGATAATAAATCCAAGCTATCTCATTTTTTTGGAATCTATCCTACAGAAATAAAGATCTATGTATAATACTGCTTACTGTGGTGCTTCTGGGTGGGCTAAAATATAGAAGCAATTTACATTTATGTCAACAAGAAAATGACTAGAGTATGTTCTTAATATGAATTATTCTATTGAATTATATTATTCTATAGGTAAACACACTTATCTGTTACTACAAGGATAACAATGGGGAAATTATAAATGGCTCCAGTGTAATCTCATCCTCTAGAACCATGCCCCAAGCCCCTACACTAACATAAGACAGCGTGGTGAGTTTATACAACACAAAATTAGTACAGGTGGTCTCCGGGATATTCAGAGTGATGGGAGGACAGACAGGAGAATCATTGGGTTCTTTGCAGTTGTAATGAGCTCATGGGTTTTATTTTTGGCTTATATTTAGTGAATTTTTCTAAGTAGTAAAAGGCCACACATGCTTTTATAAGTACACAACATTTAGCTTTCCTTTTCATTTTGGGAGAGCATTCCCTCCTCTCTTTTCCCCAACATGCCGCACACACAAGGTGGTTATCTACACCCAAGCATTAAGGTTACTGTTAGCATTCTGTCCATGAGTTACTCCGTATTTTTGTCTCTAAGACCAAGCTCACCTTTGACAACTAAGTAGTTTAGTGTCTGCAGGTTTACTGCACCCCTTCCTTGTTGCACTGTATTTTTCAGGAAGGGGAGGGATAACGTAGAAAGCTAACTTAAACGCATCAGGAAGAACAGGATGCTAACTGTTGCTGGCATTCATGTTGTTTGCCATTGAGAAACTGGGAGACAGAACTGATGGAAGGAAGAGTTTCTTTACAGTTCCGGCCAAAACTGCAGAAAGAGAAGTTCCAATGTGTCTCCTTCTTACCAAGAGCAGTGCTAGAGTTTATAGAAAAAGATGAATCAAAGGTCAGATGATATCTACATGTGAATTTAGCGGAGTCCAAATCATCAAAACTAAGAAGAGTCTCCATTCAGGGCTCTCTCTCGGGGATGGGCATTTTCACACCCAGGCAGCATTTCCTAATATCCTATCTGAGGCTCCTATCCCTACTTTACATAATTGGTTTGCAATCCCTAACAAAGAATGAATCTAGACAAGAGGTTGGAAAACTAAAAGCACATCATAATTACTCAGGGAGCTTTAAAACACTCATGATTAGTTCCCATCCCAGAACAATTAACCAGGAAATTCTCTAAGGCACTTGTTTAGCTTCGTTTTTAAGAGGGTAGAGGGGTTGTTCCCCAGAATTCTAATACTGAGTCACATTTGGAAGTTTAGTGAAGCAGGCTAGGTGGTGCACACCTGTGATCCAAGCACTCAGACAGTGGAGCTAAGAGGATCTGGGAGACCAAAATCCCCAGCTTCAGCTACATAGCAACTTTAAGGTCAGACTGAGCTACAAGAGATACTTTCGAGTCAACCCAGGAAACAAAGCAACAAGAACGCCTTGGTAGAAAACTATAGCCCAAGGATCATAGCCTGAAATCATCAGTCAACATTAAAAATATGGTTTACTAAAAAAATATTCAGGTGGGGCATGGTGGCACATGCCTTTAATACCAGTTCTCAGAAGAGAGAGGCAGGCAGATCTCTACAAATGGTCTACACAGCAAGCTCGAGGTCACCTAAGGCTACACAGTAAGGACTTATCTCAAAACAACAAAAACAAACCCAAGTTGAAACTTTTCAGAGGCTAGAGAAATATCTTAGCCAAGTAAAGTGCCAGACATACAGGATGAGGGTTTGCGTACAGATCCCCAGCACCCACATAAAAACCTACAACCCCAGGGCTGGGGAAGCAGACAAGTACATCTCTGGAACTCACTGGCCAGCCAGTCTAGACAACCTGTGAGTGAAAGACCTTGGTCTACCTCAAAAAACTAAGATAGAGAGTGATCTGGAAGACATGCAACATTTTCTGGCCTCCACCATGACAAGAGGCTTAAGTAGAGGGATTGAGAGTTTGAGGTCAACCTGGCCTAGAGAAACCCTATCTTGAGACAAAAACAAAGAAAAGGGGAGATTTGAAATACACACAGAATTAGACATGTCAGTTCAATACATTGCCACAGAGTATTCATGGAGCTTCAAATTCTCCTGGGCAACCTGGACTCCTCTCCAACCCAACTGGGTAGGAGGGGCTTCCAACAGGATGGACACAGTGTTAGAAATGTCTCCTTTTCTGCTGTTAATGTCTACAGATGGTCACTGGCAAGATCCATTATTTCATGAAGGGTTGCCACAAGGTGGTGGCCCTTAGTTGTTCCTTATTCAATAATCTGCTTACTCCGAGGAGCGCTTTACATATTAAAGATCCATAAAGTGAGGCAAGATCTTAGCTAAGTCTTGATGGTACAGTATGAAATGAACGGTAGGCCTCCATGAGGTTTTCTTGCCGAAAATAGAACCAGAACCAGAAAAGGCTAAATACCACTTTACTAAGGAATTTCATGGACATATACATACATACATACACACACACATATGTCATATATATATATATATATGACAATACGCAGGTGGTAGGAAAATACACATAGGACACACAGCTTGGTTTTTCAGCTAGTAAGTACAAGGAAAGAAAGAAGAGGGGATTAGGAGAACGAAAGAGATGGGAGAAATCTCTGTAATAATGTGCAGCTTGTTTGGCTCTTGATTTGGATAAACTGGGAAGGGAAGAGACAAGAGGGAAAATGTAAACACTAATTGGGATAACAGATGATAATATGAAATGCTAACTAGATGGATGATGACTTTATGTTCAAAACCATAAATGCTTATCGACAAGCATTTAGCAGATGGAATGGGCACATTTCAGAATCGCTTTAAAGCAACCGCGGGAAAGAGGGTAATGGGGGAAACAAACTTGATGAGGAATTGGGATTTTTTTTTCCATGTATGCTTGAAAATTTCTCCGATACAAAGTTTAAAAATATACTCAATAATCAAAACCCTCCCAGCAGGTCAGGGGGCAAACAGCAATTATTTGAGCAATGGTGGTTTGGTGACATGCATCTCTCTAGGTATTAGGAATTAAATGCTAGCAAACCACATTTGGTCCCTGTCTTCTTGAACAAAAAGCAGCTGCTGGCTTTCCCAAGACCGTCATCCATTCGAGAGCGTGCGTAGTAATTTCAGCCTTGACAATGCTGTCACTTGTCACAGCAGGCCTGACTGCAGATCACAATCTCTGCTAACCATGGGGCCTCCCACAGCCCCTGGGTGACTAGTGGAGCCCAGCCGCTCCTCAGTTTCCAGGAAGGCAAGGCCTGGGGTGCAGGAGAGTGATGACGCCGCCCATCATTCTGGAGATGAAGGAGCTGTGTGGGCCTGAGAGTGAGTGGCCAGGCCTGTTACCACGGCCTGCCCCGGGTACTACTCGGCGCGTCCTCGCCTCAGGCGTTCCCGGGACCTCTGCGCCCGCCCCCCTCGGGCGTCCTGCCCCACTCACCCTCTCTCCGAGGCCCGCCGGAGGCGAGGGAGGCGCAGGCCGGCTCCG